TTTTTTTCCCCCCCCCCCCCCCGATTACCTGCTTGTTTTAGCTCCCTCCCTGTGTCTTCCTTGATCACTTCAATGCACCCTTTCCAGAACAGGGTCTACACACTGCTCTGGAGACATTTTCCAAGAGGCAGCACACAGCACGGGCACACTCCCAGGCTTGTGTTCCCCTGCCTCAGTTTCTCAGCATTAGCCCAGGAAGCTCATGACCAAAGGAAGTATCTTCAAACTCCTCATATACCCATGTGCCATGGACAAATGACCTCAGAGCATAGAACACTCATCCGCAGTTCTCATGCTATCAGAATACCCCACTCATGGTCTGCAACACAGCCTTCACTTCATTGCAGAGATGTCATTGCAAGAAAGCATAAGGAATATTAGGTACTAGGCCTCTGATATGACATGTGGCCCAATATAGGCTAAGTGTTATGTAATATGAGTATAGGAGTCTGCTTTAGAGCACCAGTTCTGCACACTGTGATTACAAATCACTTTGGAGCATTTGACTTTAGCAACAGAAGAGCACCCATGGTCCTCTTCTGTTTATCCATATAGATAGACATTACCTCAGATGAATTAAATAGACATTAAATAGCATGCTTATTGCCTCTTCTAGAAACTGTTAGTCAGTGATAAAGAAGCTAATCCCTGAAAACAGTGGAAAGATTCCTGTTATGTTTAGCAACCCTTAATAAAGGACTAGGTCACCTTTTTTACCTGCAGAATTGTTCCTGTCCCTAGACTGGTGAATTCCTATGCCTGAAGGAAATAATAAAGGTAATGAATCTGATTTGGGGCAGATAGATAGCATGTGTCTTGTTCAGGGAGATTCCATGAAAAATTCCACCTGTCTTTCCCCACAAAGATGCCTGGTTCCCTAGTACTGAATGAAGTGAGATACATAAGCTTTAAAAAATTTTTAAGTCATTTAAAATATTCAGTTTATTATTATCCTTGTTGTTATATTTCCTCTCACCATCACAAAGTTTATTTCTGTTCCATTTCTAAATAGGATAATAATTAAACTATCAAGTTAGTAATAAAGGTTTAGTGGATAAGTGATCAGAGAATGATTCTTGCAATTTTCTGCAAGTAATCATGTAGTCAAGTGAAATCATGGTAGGAGATTTACAAAACTTGGCAGTGTCAACGGATATGTCACTAGGGAATTCTGTGGAGTAAAATAGAAATTTTATTTTTAGAAAGGATCTGCTGTAACCTTTAATTKGGATATTTCTGCCCTTTGTTCATAATTACTACAATACTTTAACCCGTGTAATTCATCGTAAGGCCAGCATATATTTCCCAGCTGTTGTTAATATTTATTACTGGCCCACTATTAAGTAAAGGAGAGCAACAGCGCAGGAAGGGGGTCTTTATTTGCAAAGTGTTTGTGAATGGTAGAATGGTAGGTAGAAATTCCTAGCTAATTTCCTGAGATGTATTTCAACTTGCATTTATGAGAGACAAACAAAGATCAGAGCATTAGACAGTATGATATAGCCTCATACTGAAATCTTTTTATCTTCACAGACTTGTAGTGAGAAGGGTTTTCTGCCAGCTTATGGCATCCAGTGAGAAACTGCGAAGGTCAGAGGAGTCCTGTGACCTCCTGAAAAGGGGATACGAATGGTGGACAGCTCTGCAATGGGTAAGATAATGACTTTTTTACATGAATAGAAAAATTGTTTTTAGAAGGTTTTGAAGCAGAAGAAACATATACAAGACCAACTCTATATAGTTTTAATGAGATAAAGGAAGATGTTGTCCCTTTTGGAGTTTTCACTAGGCCCAGTGCTGGCATGGGGAACAGCCTGGACCATCATGCTGTGGTTGGCCATGTCAAACCTGGTGTTATATAGTTTTTTGAATATAAGCAAAAAAAGAAAAAAAAAAAAAAAGTGTCCAGTCTAATGTCTTTGATGGATCAGGCTCTCACAAGTCTTCAAACAGGTCACAACTGCCCCACCAGGCTTCAGCACACTGTCTAGGAAACCCCTGAAGTTTAACTTGGTGCACAATCAATAATCTAGAAAAGTTTCTTTTGTTGCAGAAGGTTAGAAGCAAGCACTCAGGCATATTTAGTATAAATAATGTCACAATAAGCTCACAAGCATGTTAAAAAAGAAATTATCATATGGAAAAGGAAATAAATATAACTTCTTTATGCTCTGATACTACTTTCTTGTCTAAAAATGCCAGTATTTAGATTCTGCAAAGTCTAATTCCTGCTGGCAGGTCTGGACTCCATTATTTATTGCAATATTTCAAATTCCCCTTTAAATATGAAGGAGTTTGTGCATACACATCATTCAAAACCAACAAGCTTGTACTTGCAATGTAAATTCACCATGTGCATGATGCACTATTAATATTTATGGTTTGTAGATCAGTCGTGCCCAAAATCCTTGCCAAGAATCCATGCCTCCTTGCATTTGATCCCTATTCTTGGTAGAAATGGTTCTCTGTAGAGTCTTCGTGTGCTGAAATATTTTCAGCAATAAAACTAGAAAATATGTTGTACTTAAGGATTTTTCTGCATGCCTACTGAAGGAATACTCATATCAACACATTTATTGTTCATGATAGTATGAAATATGATTTTATGATCTGCTCTGCCATTAAAGGACTGAATTTGCTTAACAGCACATGGCCAGAAAAAGCAAGTGCTATATAAAAAGGTATTTGTTTGTATGGAGTTCTCTTTACCTTAATCTTGCAAATATGAKCAAAGCTGTATTCTATTTAGGACTGCCCTGAAATGAATTGTTATGAAAGAGAGTATTATCATTCTTCATTATATCTGCATTTACAAATCATGTGCCTGGGAACGTTTACAAGTTTTTAAAGATGCTTTCCAACACTGATGTATTAAGAACTGGCAACAGGCAGACGATACTAATGCACCTAAAAAAAAAGTCCATAACAGCACTTGACTATTAACCAAATGATGCACATTTATAAAATAAATGAATACTCCCCAAACCAAAAGGATGAGTGGTTTGTTTCCTCCCCTCTCTTCTCACCCCCCCACCATTTTTCCATCATGCTCCTGGTTATAGATCTTACAAATTGTCTTTTTATTACCAATGAAGGTTAATATTTACATATCACAWTTTTTTTCTTTACTTCTGTGTGATTGGCACTTGCAGTTTTTTTCTCTAGGATATCAGAACACTGACTAATGGAAAAGATGTTTACACATAGGGCCACCTTTAACAGAGGTTAAACCTATGCTTCCATGCCCTTATTTAACTGATGACTGAATGGGCAAAAGGTAGCTTTGATTCAAAGACATTTTAAAATAATTATTTTGATGCTTGCCTGAAATGTATTTATTTTTTATATGAGACATAACCCTGAAACTTTTGTACCTTTGCATTGTGATTACCTTCAGCAATTTGGATGAGATAAATCAAGCCTTCCTGATAAGGCACAAAAAACAGGTTTAGGCTGTGTTTGAGCCTGCATGTTTATCTGAATATGCTAAAAAGATTTCCATGGGCAGCAAAATTCTCACCCATTACAGCAGAAAAAGAGAAAAACAGATAGATCAGGGTTTGAAAGCAGCCTTATACTAGGGTGGTTATAAAATGGTCTAAAGCAGTGCACTCGTAATAAGAAGTTTGATTCTTTGACACAATGAAATTTATCCACGTTAGTTTCCAAACTGCTGCAAAGAGCATTTTTCCAGCCCYTACTCCTTTTTGTAAGTTGCTTTTTTTGTTGTTGTTCTTTTTTTTTTTTTTGGATAGCAAAGCTTTTGGAAACAGATAAGGTATAGCCACCTTAAGATACTTTCATCCTTCTTCCTCTCAGAAGTTATTGTAGTAGATATTGTTTTCTTATTCCTGATTCATTAGATGAATGCTGTGGTTTTAAATTCTATATCTGCTTAGCCATTGTCTTTCTCAAGATATACAAAAATTTCCAGAGTACTCAATACTAATTATTAATTATGAGCAGAGAACCTCCCTGTTCTCTGTATGTTGGATGTCTTTAGAAGACAAGTAGTTGAGAGCAGAGACCTGTACTGCCTACATGCAACAATACACAACAGGCAGAAATTGTGGGCCATATGAATTTTGGCTAGAAGTAGTTTTCTATGAGGAAATAATATTAATATGTAGAGAAAGACTGAGCCGTTCTCTGGAACTGGAGAGCTAATTAAATCTTCCTGGTGAACAGTGTCACCAGGGCTTGTCTACAAATACCAAGTGAGGAATGGTGAAGCAGTGCAAGAACAAGATTTAGTTTAACTCTGTGGTCTCCCAGGACTAGAAGAGTGACTAGAAGAGCATCTGACTTGGATTTACTCTATTACGTTAAAAAGCTGATACAGAGCAACCCAAAACACATCCTGCACGGTACACCAAAACAGGTTTCAGTGATGCTGCAAACCAAAGCCTGGGAAAAGGGCTCCTTACCTTCTTGTCTTAATTACTGGTCYTTTATCATTTAGTTATTTACATATCAGAGGAGTGTGATGCCTCTAATTAGGACAATGTTTGGAACAATGTATTACTGTGCTTTATTACTGCTGAGAAGCTTTAATTGTTGTACTGGACATTCAATCCTTCTCTGAAGGATAATAAATAAGGACTAGCATAAGTCAGGGTGCCCAGGATATTTCAATATATCSCCACATATGTTTTTTTAACGTTGTAAAAGTTAGCAAACTATGTCTTACTAGTGCTGTGTGTCATTAAAATGGGTCTGTTGCCTTTTTAAAGTAGTGTCATTATTCATATGACAGAAGAAATCAGTTTGGGATAAAGAATAAAAAACTTTTTTTTTTTTTTAACAGCTTGCCTTTAACTAAAAAAAGGAAAAGATTTATAAAACTACTGGGATAATTGAGAATCAGAACAAGTTGGCAAAGCACTTCTCGTAATCCCATCTAGAAATACACATCCAAATTTATACCTTCAAGCTACTAACAGCAAGTAGAAGGGCACTTCAGACTTGCTAAAATCAAGCATTCAAAAACCAATATGTCAACCCCACCAAAGTGATCCTGATTTCAAGGTCATTCCTGATGTTATCATCTTTGGTCTTTTGAGATCTTCAGTTCCATTTTAATCATGTTTCCAAGCAGTCACATCTGCAGTCACCAGCTATAGAAAGATACTTTAAAATAAAACAGAAATATATATTATATATGAATATATGAACAATATTCAAAAGTATATTCATGCACAATCCAATCCCTTGTATTCTAATAGACATTAAAACAAACTATTCCTCTCATCCCACTGGGAGCCATAATTAAACTACACCAATTCAATTAACATACCAGTTAGTTTAAAAAAAGAACTCATAAACAGTTTAAACTGAAAACCTTACCTGAAGAAATAGTGCAACATATTTGTTAATGAGTCCTATCAACCAGCCTCATAGCCTGTCTATAGCTATATCCCTGTTCACCTGGGATAGCCTTAGTCTGTGCATTAGGTATTTAATAGCTCACTTTAAAAATACCAAAAACAAGTAAAGCTTGATAGTTTCTGATGATAGGATTTTGAATTTCCTATATACTCAACAATTAAGCTGTTTAGACCATATATTTCTTTCTAATAAGCTGTGCTGAGAAGTAAAGAAATGCATAAGTTTAGCATAGATTTCAAGAGCAACTATTTTTGTCTTTCCACAAAATCATATGCCCAATACCAGTGGTATAAATCCTTAGTTTATGACAAGCTTAGATTAAATTTGCTACTTCATCTGTAGGTTAATGTACTGATATGTAATTACTATCAGGTGAATATAAAAAAAATCATAAAGCAATAATTATTAGCTTCAGTTGTTTAACTTAAACATTAATGTTTTTCTTTATCACTGTAATTTTCACATTTAGCTTTTCAGTTATCTTGTCAAGCCCAAAGTCATGTTCAGACTGGCAACACTTCAAGAAATAGTTTAAATCTACCTCCTTAGGCTAATTTTTATTAATGCAATTTAAAATATSTCATGAAAACATTATTTCTTACACTAAAGTTGGTGAAATACAAGAGTTTAGCGCATGAATGTTATCACTGGTGTCTCAGGATAAGGTTAGGAAATAGATTAAGCGCAATGCTTGGCCGTATGGCTTGTAAAACATGTCCCGCACAGGTTCATTTTCAAGGGGTAAGCATATTTTACAGGCTGATTCACACTTCTGCCCAAGCACAGRGCATAAGAAAGTGTCAAGTAGGTAGAACTGTTTATTCATACCATTCATCAGGCATACTAGATAAAACAACTAGCACAAGATAGAATATCATGGTTTTCTTACACTAACTACTGCAAATTACCACTCGGATTAGGGGGTAAGGAACGAGGAGTTGGATGTTCCCATTAACTTTTCAAGAAGCTGAGCTGTACAGAGATGCAATTATGGACACGTGTCATGGATTGAGGCTAGCATGTGCAAGGCAGGAAGAGTTGACGCGAAAGGAGAGCGGTCGGTGGCTGCCTGGCCCACTGCCAGCACCGAGGCCTTTTGTGCAGGACGCGCAGGGCGAGGAGAGACAAGACTGATCTATTTCATGTGGGTAACACCTAGGAAATTTCTATTTGTTTCCTAGACCCTGAATCCAAGTTACAATTAGAAGCTATGCGATATGACAGAGGTTAAAAGCTGAATGCGGGCAAAGTGCGACCCATTATTTTCATTTCAGTCATGATCATCATCAACATTACCACAAGCAGGCCCCATAGCACAGTCATCTTAATCCACATAGTCACCTTCTTTCCTCTTGAGGTGCATCACAAACACAAACCTGCTTCTCCTGTTCAGTTCTCTCACTTGTCAGCTAACAGGTCAGGCACAGTGCTCCCTGCTCTTTACTTTTAAAAAGTAATTCAAAACAGAAATAAGGGCAAGTTCCTAAACAGCAGTAAAATTGACGTGAAAAGCCAAGATAATCAACTATGTTCTAAGTACCTCTACATTCTGAATGAAATACTCTCTCTAGCTAGGTGTTATTGCTGTTCAGGTTTAACCAGTGGAAAGCTATGAACATTTAGAAAACATAAATGGTTGTGTTTGTAACAATGAGTGTTGAAATCTTATTGGAGAAGAGCTAAGAGAAAAAAGTTTAACTCTGATAAATAAAAGAAAAACAGCCCTGTAAAAACAGCAAGCAGACCTCTAATCAAAGCGTCCATCCGTGTGACAAACAAACTGATCACTTATATCAGCACAGGCCTGTGGAACCCTCTGCAATATACACTGTGTATATTGCACAAGTCTGGCGTGCTGAAATGGCTCAAATATACCACTACTATATAGTTAGATTTGCTTCTTTTTAAGGAAGGTGTGGTGTAACAGCTACAGAAAATACAGTAGATCAGAATGAGTACACATTAGACCTGTGTACTGAACGGCAGAGTTTTGCTGGTACTACTTCTGGAGTCTGCAACACTGCAGCATTCTGCTGATAAACCACGAGCCTGATATCAAAAAGATGACCGACTGTATCCATTTTTATCATCCCATAAGTGTCTGAGAATTTAAGTATACTTCAAGGTGCTTTTGAACTGGGGAAATGTTTTATAACTCTGTTTTATGACTTAGCCACCCTAATATATTAGCTATGTTACCATTTGTGCCATTGCAATATTTAAGCTATAAAAGACAAATTCTGTTCAAAACTTTATTGGAGTACATCTAGAATAACAGCACTGAAAGTTGTGGCACATTTTGGATAGAACAGGCCCAGACAACATACCTTGGTTTATAGTGCCATTACTGGAAGCAGTATTTGGCTCAGCATCTCTGGATGACTAACTTGAAGCATGAGGGCAGTGTGTATGTCACTACCAATGGCTCCAGCCTCAGTRGACAAAAATCTAGAAAATTAAATGACTAGAAAAACATGCCAGACAGATAAGACTGCTTCTTTTCCATTTTGGGTATCACAGTTAAAACTTTCAGCAGGGAAAAATAAAGTTACAAAGGTTCAGGATGGACACCATCTTCAAGAACAYTACCCATTATAAATAAATCCCAGTGAAGCACTACAACACAAGATGCCAAATTCCATGTTACAACCTGTTCTAAATGCTACGTATAATGCAATCAATGGGCCATTAGCTTAGTCTTCTCCTCAGAGCAAAGTTACAAAATTAACAGATCACAGTCTGCAAACCAAGTCACAAGCAAGCAAAACGTAGATTATGAGGCACATACTACCAATAATGATGCAGAAGTCTGTTTCTCTATATGAAGTTTTGGTGGCTCTTTTAAGAACATCAACAGAACRGAATTCAGAAGGTTTTTTTCTTTTTTTTTTTAATTGTTGTTGTTTAGCTTTTGTTGTTTGATTGTTAAGTGAAATATATTCTTGAGAGCTGTAAAATGCTGCACTGGTGAGTTGTGGTTTATGACAAATAGCCATTAACTTACTGCTCTAAGTATATCAAGTGCTCAGGTGTAAGTAGCAATAACAAACTACATATATTTTTGCAAATAATAGTTTCTGTAATTGGCATAGCAAGTGTAAAGTATAGAAGTAATGGTATCTCACCAACATTTCTGACATTTCATTGGCCTACGGGTGGCTTGTTATCCCTAGGCACCCCTCAGAGGTGGCTGGCTATCAGAATGACATRTCCAGTTTGGACAACTTTGCTCCAATTTCCATCATTCAGAGTCTCTTGCCCATTAAAAGGCAAACTCCAGCTGATGCCTGATCTTTCAGAGGTTACCACCCAAAGCTCCAGCTGCTCAAATGCTATTTGTTTAGTGAATGTGGGACACATATGCATGGAGCATTAACACAAACAAATAAACAAAAAAAAAATCCTAAATGTTTGCATTACTTTCTGGGGCAGCTGGGAATCTTATTATTGCAGCAATCATCAGCTGAAGTTATGGTCATTTCATTCTGCTGCCCTTTATTCTTTCAGAACAGTCTTTCATGCRTCATGTCAAATAAATACCATCAGAGGCTGGATTCAATTTTGCTTTCCCTGGATGTTATAGCTAATCCCCACACACCGTCAAATGGTCCATGCCCAAATATCAATAACGCTCGCTTCTCACACTTGTAATGCACTGTTCACTCTGGAAGGAGACAGGTCTCGGTCACTGACAGAAAGTGGGAAGTGAGAAATGTCAAAAGTAGTCACTTGGTGCTGCAAACAGTATAGAAAACATAAGGACATATGTATGGGGCTTGGTTATATATTATTATCAGTAACACAGAGGAAATCAAAGTCATTTTTGGTCATAATAGAAAGAACTTAATTTTTGCATTATGGAAAACCAACATAACTGATTTGTGTTTAGCTAATTGAACTAAAATCCAGTTATTACACAGGCAAAACCCATGCTTATCAATGCTGAATAAATACTATAACTGACTTAACTGTCATGAATATCTATAAAAATTAAAGCGTAGACTCTGCATTTCCAGTTTTATGCAYTTTATCAATGAACATATTAATACTTGCTCTATTTGCTATAGATGTTGAAACAATTTCATAAAAACCCTGTAAAAGGATATAAGAAAAATTTAGTATACARTTGTATCAGGAAACCTAGGATCAACAGTCATACACATCCAGACTGCAAAGAAAAACATATGTTGTGACCTCCTGGTACAAGCTGAGCAATCACTGCTTAAATATCACATGCCAGATAATTTGATTTTCCTACATATGAACTGCGGCAGAAGAATTATCTCTATAAATTAACTTCCAAACAGATTATARGAAGTGAAAAGAAGTCATGCTCTGTCTGTTGAGAATTCTCAGGTAGGAAAGAGAACTGAGAGTCAAAAATAAACATATTTGCTCATAATTGTTTCCAGGGATTGTCATCATCTACTGACTGATCTCTTGCTGCTCTTCTTGGAGTTCTAGTTGTGTACAGACAAGACCCCAAAATCCAACTTTATCCATATGCATATCTTTTTGCAGATTTCTTTGGTTGTTAYAGCTGATCATCTCAATGCCTAATTGAGACCAAATGAGCAGTTAGCCTGGTGGCTTTCTCATAGATATATGTAATGCAAGAAGCTGGCTTTGTTCAGGACTTAATATTTGAAACCAAGGATATGGACGGAGACACAGGCAAACGTGAAGGACCGAGGGACGTTTTATCTAGTAAATTTTGTAGACTTCCTGATCATTTGTTTCCA